ACTATTCTCAAAAAAAAAAAAAAAAAAAAAAATTCACACTTCGCGCGGCTGGTCATCCATGTTCGAGCACCTTAAACCACCAGTACCTTTCCCAGCTATCCTGCCGAGACGTGGCAGGTCATGCGGGAGGTCGGCGGGGTTCGGTGCTACTGGACCGAAATGTCTGGCGGTGCCAGCCAAAAGGAGTGTGCCCCACCGGCTCGTTTTTTTCCGGCCGGCGGGGCGATTTTAGGCTCGGCATCTATAGCTGAGAAAGGTACTGGTGGTTTAAGACCATTACCCTATGTAGGTTACTAGGGTGCGGCATAAACTCTGAGATTTATCTTCTTTCCTTTGCCGGGGGGAGGAAAAGGGTTTTACCACTTAGGAGACCCCACCCACCCTCACATGAATTCTCCCAAAGCACCCCCACACTCCCCCAGTCCTACCTCGGTGTCTACCTCTCAGGGCCATCACCCATCTACCGTCTTGGAGGGGTGACCTGACCGGACAGCAGGGCACCAGGGTAACTTCAGTAGAGTCACAAAAACAGTTTGACATTACAGTTCTGGCATTCCCGCAAACATAAGACACCCCCACTCAACACTACCTGACCGGAAATCTAGCTTGTATACATTGCCTCAAGCCCAATGACTGGACCCACATTCACCCAACCTTCCCCATGATGGCATTGCGGCCCCCGTCTGATTTCCCCGACCCGTTCCCCCCTCACCCCATGCCCCTGATGGAAGTTCTTACATGACCCGGCTGCATGATCACAACATGATCACAACATCATCACGACATCATCACGACATCATCACGACAAGAGTGCAATACAATTGGATCAGACGTGCCTGAGACAAGCCTCCCCGGTGCCCCCGCCGGGCGTTGCTTGCCGAAGGGCCCTCCAAAATCATCAAGCTTCTCACAAGGGCCCCTCCAAAATCATCAAGCTTCTCACAAGGGCCCCTCCAAAATCATCAAGCTTCTCACAAGGGCCCCTCCAAAATCATCAAGCTTCTCACAAGCTGCATGGGTGTGCATGGGTGTGCCTGAGTTGACTGGATGGCTTGTGTGTTGGTTGGTACATTCAGCTCTGGAGGGCAGTAGCCTCCCCCCAGGTGCTAGTGGTGTCTGCTCTTATCAGCATCACTAACACCGGTGGAGTTGTTCAAAAAAAAAAAAAAAAAAAAAAAAAAAAAAAAAGCCCTTG